TAAACATGTCAGGATGTAATTTCAATAAACTTTTTTTTATTGTGTGTTGAGATGACGTCATAATTTTTCTAGATTACATATTATATACTTACATAAAAAATATGTGATACAAAATATGTACTTGTATATAAAGTTGTAATACGAGTACGTTATAAAATCAACATGTACATGAAACACAGTTTGTTTAGAATGTCTTTAACGATAAGTAAAAATTTTTTATCTCTCATCGGACTTCGTATAAAAACGGATTTCGTAATATGATTGGGCTTTTACTTTTCTTGAAACGAATAAAAATCACAATCGTTATGGTACTTATCTGAATTGCCTTTCATGAGGAGATTGTCAATTTTGTTTGTTGGTAAAAGGTTATTCTACATACATTCAATAACTCTGACCAATACGGTCTTTTCTAAAAATGAAAAAAAAAGAAATTTTAATTAGGACATAAACATAGAAATTTTAGCCCGGTATAGTAAAAATAAATTTAGAAAAAACATTTTTTTTTTGTGAAAAAATCGAACTTTAATATAGTGTTAATTTTCCTTTCCATTAAGCTTTTTACTTCTTGAGCGTAAGCTACGGACCTCTACAGAAACTACTGGATGGATTATTGTCAAATTTTGTGTGCATATTAGGAATATCATGACGTCATCATCAAAATTTACAATAGTAAATTTGTTTTTAATTTTATAAAATAAGATACTTCTGCACTTGGAGTATAAATAAATCCGTGCTGGCGTTTCACCCTAGACATCGAGATTTTTGGAAACAATAAAAATTGTATAACGATATTTTGTAATTTAACTTCGAAACTACAAAATCGAATGTTCTGAAATCTTCCAAACGTTTTAAGATTTCAATTATGGTAAATAGTTAATCAAAATTTCTTCTTTTATCCCTTTCCAAAAAATTGATGATGTTTCAAAATTTTGCCGAATAAATCGTCTCTGAAATATTCAAAATATTATGACCCTATATTTATGGTGTACACTACAGTTTTTAGAATTACATATACCGGGTGACCGAAAAAAAAATGAATGAGGCAATTTATTGTACTGATTAAATTAACGGACGATTCAATCCATTTTCTTGAAAATTTGGGAACTCAGCACTGTTATTATTAGTATTACACTGCATCTATCCAAACTGCAAAAATGTTGATGACATCATCACAAAATTTTGTAATGGAAAAACTCACTTGAAACAAATGCTTATATTTTGCTTTTTTTTTTTTTTTCTTAATTTACATAGCCATCTTTTCACAACAAGAAACTTAGAAGAACATGGTTAAAATGGTACGTTTTTGCAAGAAAATATGGATTTTGCAATTATGGGGCGGAGCCTAATATTTCCTTATACAAATTTTCCATTTTAAACTTGTTTTAAGTTTCATCTTATGAAAAAAAGTCTAAACATATTAAAACAAAAAGGCAAAATGTAAGCCCGCCCACCCGCCCTGTCTCGATTCTGATGATTTTTTATCTGCCATGAACCAAGGGGGCGGACCTTAAATGCAAAATACTTATTTCTTCACAAGAAATTAAAAACATGTTTTTGAGTATCGTGTTGTTCAAAGAATACTATGTATATTAAGAAAAAAAATGCGAAATATAAACCCAGCTCACCTAGGCCATCTCAATTCTGATCTTTTTTTTATTCTTAGAAACTTAAAACACGTTTAAAATGGTAAATTTTTGTAAGGAAATATGGATTTTGGCCTTAGGCTCCGCCCCTAGGTCGGGCCAACGAACGAAAACTTTGTTACTACTTAGATCAGGGCTGGTATGATATGGGTGCGGCTTTGGCTTTAATTTTTTCTTAATATACATAGTATTCTTTGAATATCACGATACCCAAAAAGATGTTAGATGGTAATTTCTTGTAGAGAAATATTAAGGATTTTCAATTAAATTCCGCTCCTTTGGCTCGCGACGATTAAAAAAAAAATTAATCACAGTTGAGATAGGGCGGGTGGGCGGGGCTAATATTTTACGTTTTTTCTTAATATACATAGTCAGCCGTCTTTTCAGAGCAAGAGACTTTAAAACATGTTTAAAATGGTAAATTCTTGCTGACAACGAATGAAAAATTCATTACAATTGAGAATTGAAATCGGGGCAGCTATTAGTGGGACCTAATCTTTGGCTTTATTTTTTTCTTAATATACATACTATTATTTGAACAACAAGATACTCAAAAATATGTTTTTAATTTCTTGTAGAGAAATAAGGATTTTGCAATTAAGCTCCGCCTTCTTGGCTCACGACGAATAAAAAAAAAATCATCACAATTGAGATAAGCCGGGTGGGCGGGGCTACATTTTGCCTTTTTTTTCTTAATATTTGTAGACTTATTTCGATAACATGAAACTTAAAACACGTCTGAAACGGTAAATTTTTGTAGTAATGAACTTAAATCCTCCACTTTTCTTCTACAACCCCTTTAAATACGGCAAAAGTTGAATATCAAAGTCACTATCAACGCAACTTGGTAACAGAGTTTATAAATGACAATTATCAGCTCTAAAAGCAACATCAGCGGGAACAGCAAGTTTATAAATCCCACTTTATGCGTAAAATTTAACTCATGACTGTAGAAGTGTATGGAATCTTAAAAATATGGAACTGTACATTATTTTAATCTTGTTTAAAAAAAAACCTATTCGTGATAAAGACTCTACGATGCGAATTTGTAGAAAGTGAAAACAGTCTTTTTAATTTTTGCTTATTTAGCTTTACTTTAACATTACATCCATATCTTTATTTTAACTTATAAAGGTTATCACAAAAAATAGAATTCGCAAAATCAAATATTTTAATAATTCGAAAAATCTGTATGTATTGTATTATATTTCAGGGACGACGGAAGTTCTGTCGAAATAGCCTTCGACCATTTTTTTGTTTTTAGAGTGTTTTATAAAGTCGCTCTAAAGTACTATTAAACTGCTGGATATGACTTTACAATTTCAGTAATTAATGGTACTAATTATCCATAGTGTTTTTATGCAATTAATTTAATGATACAATAAAGCTGCAGGTGCAGTAGCATTGGACTTATCACACTCGAATTTATTTCTTAACACATTGAACATTAAGAAACTAATTATTCCAAAATAATATACGACAACGATTAAATCAGAGAACAGATGCGGCAAACAATGCGTAGGATATATTTTTAAGATTTAAGCTATATATAGTCACAAATGAAAGTGGTCTTGTACTAGACAACGAATCTCTACCCGTAAGAGGTAAACTGACTCTGCGAAGATGACCTGCTTGGAATTGCATAAGACAGTCTCATCTTAAGTTTGTCGGTAACTGGGACATGGTTACACTCGCATCACAAACAGACCAGAGAAGCGACTATAATATGTTAAATATTTTGTATGTGTATTTTTTATTGCGTAGGAGACATATTTCACTGAACAGCGGCAATTAATTCGACAAGAGGCCGCTTACAAAATCTCGCAACACTAAATTATTGAACACTTACACGAACACCTTCGTCCCTAGGGTGTTTATGCTTTACCTGTTTCGTAGTAAGGAGCGGTTTGACGTAGCAAATAAACTGTTAGTTGGAAGCAGGATGTTCGTAGGTTTATTTGCATGTCTTTCTGTAACTCAAAAGCCATCACTTACGGATTTATGGTAGCGACCTTACAGACGCCAGCCAAGAATTTCCGATGGTACAATTATTGTTGATCTACAAAGAGCAGCTGCGGTTAGTGCGTGATTGATAGATTACACTGTTTCAACTCTAATAGCTGGTGATTTTTCTAAAAGTTTTCCGGTTTAATTATACGATGCGGAGATCTTATTGTCTTCTTTAAGGTTGATGTCATTCTAACTGACGTGTTTGTCAAAGGTTAAGCTGGTTCGAACTAAGGAACATTCTCATGAACCCGTTGGCATAGGTAAGGCTCCAGTACATCAGTTACCCTTTGCATAACACAATGCACGAAGTAGACGACTTATGTCTGCTCTTTAGAACAACATCAGCGAAATGGGTGTTCTCTTGCATCTAGTGAACAATGGGTGGTAGTGTGAAGGTGGTTTGTTCTTGATAAACCATCAATACCAACGCAAATTCTGAAAGACAAAGACTTGTCACATATACACCTGTACCGAGAAGAATTGAGCCATGATTTAATCTGATTTTAACCTAATTAGGACTGGCACGTTCACGAGAACGACATTCCCCATACTTGTTGGATCGTCTCTTGTGTTGTAATTTATTTTATTGAGCAGTATGTAGTTTTTTTTGTATTTGTAGGTATTTTCTATAAAGATACCAATTAAAAGTGTAGTTGACATTAACATCATGTCTCCATCTTTGGCTAATTTTGTAATTCATCAAATAAAGATTCAATTACTCATTTGAGAGACAACATTGAGAGTCCAATGTAGCACAGGCTCTCTTTGCAATTAAAAATGATTACTTAATATGTTGCATGAAAAGTAGATACGGTGTGGACAAATTAATACAAGTTTACCCTTAATCTTTTACCCTAAAATATGAGTCATTATTGACAATTTATTAGAATGTGGAAAGTCAATCCTGAAAAAACTACTCCTACAAAGTAGCGAATTTCGCCTTAAATTATTTGCATACATTGTCTTTGGAAAAATTATAATTGAATTTAAATTAATGTGCACTTATACTTGCCCAACTTCATCGATTTTATCGCCCATGTTAAACGGCTAATTAATTTTGATTTATGTTTATTACGTTATAGAAAATTGACCATAAGTGAAAAAATAAATACTTATACAGGAAAGCAATATGTGTGAAAGGTGTCTTGGGGTAATTCATGGTAAAGCATCCTCACTTTTATTTTCATGAAGGAGATGATCTCGTTTCGCTGTTCTGATTAATTCTTCAGAGTGGGGTGGTTGTCTATAGTTTTAAAGTAAGTATATATAGAGGATTATCTTATTGAACTATTAGTTTACACTTAAGTTCCACAGTAGTTATTAGTGGTAGAAGACAAAACCATCAGGATGAAGTTGGTAAGTCAAAGGATCCACCTGAAAAAACAACGAACACATAACATTTTGGCAAAAACACTGTTTTGATACACAAATTTTTTGATTTCTGAATTTTTCGCAGTAACAAATGGAACATTTTACTAGTGCTTTTCTAAATTTGAGTTCACTTGGGATTATCTCCAAATTTTTTAAAGGATTTATCTGGATTTTTTTCAGGTGTTGGTATCATTTTTGGTAGGAGTGTGCTCAGCAGCTAGGTTAGAAAATACCTATTTGCCACCAAATGGTGCAAATGGAGCAGGTGGTGGCCCAGGATTAGCAGCTCCAAGACCTGGTGGAAATGGAAATGGAAATGGAAATGGAAATGGAAATGGAAATGGAGGACGTGGTAAGTATTCGATTTTTTATTTAAATCATATTTAGAAAATTATATAGCTGTTTATAAATGTTTTATTTTTTTATTTTATTTGTTACATTGATTTACAACATCCACAGTTTTTGAATAACCGCATCTTGTAGACCTTCGATAAAAACCAAAATTTGACGATTTTTTAAATGTTGGATAACTAATTAAATGATTGTGTTGAGTGTGAATTTTGTAAGAATTTTTAAACATACTTATTAGATTTTAAATTATGATCGTAACCGCAAAACAGTGTTATAAGTTCTATTATTACTTAGTAGTATTTGTCGTGTTAACTAAACAACACACTCATAAATTAAATAACTACAATTTTTTTTTTTGGCTTATAATAACCATGAAATGATTTTCTCTTTACCATTAAAATCTATGTGAACACAATCCTTTACCATGTAAATTAGAAAACTTTTACAGACACAATTGTAGAAAACCTCGGTAGTTTTCATTTCTATATAAACATATATTTTAATTATTATTATCCAAACATTAAATAACGTAAAGATGTCAGTGCTAGATTGGCACAGAATGTTTATAATTTTCGGGTTTTACTTGCTTCCTATAATTCTGGTTCTGAAATTGTGACACTGACTGAGTAAATTTTTTTTCCACCCTAGTAATTCACGCCGGGTGTGTACTGGTTATATGTACAGCATTGACAGAAATATATATATATATACATTAGAAATTAATTGAAGAATTCATTATTTCAAAAACGGCACTATATTTAATGGAATTTCTCGTTTTTGTCGTAAAAAATCTCTATGTATGAACAGACACTATATTCTACGTGTTAGTAACATTTTCACAATAAACAACAACAAAACAAAAGGTAATCTAATTTCCTATATGTTTAGATTTTTTTAATCAGTAACTTTCAATTTATGTAACTTTCAATTTATATCAAGACAAGACAAGTCACTTCGTAGGTGAAGTTTTTTTTCAGTTTACCTTTCATTTTGGCCTTTTTACCTTCTTTTATCTTCTAGTGTTGCAACCACGGCATACACAATAAACGAAAAGTGTATTTACCGAACTACCCACACATCAAACGTCAAATCGGAAAAAATGTAACTGAGCGTGATAGGTTGCTCTTCTCATTGAAATGCAACCTGCTTCTTTGATCTCAAGACAAAGTGATGGTAACGTTTTATAATAGCATGTCGGTGTAATAAAGGAAGCACACATACTTAGAATGCGACCAACGTTCAATAAATCGCCTTCACAAAGCAAACGATCTCAGATCTCCCATTAACCTGTCCGCACCTACTTCTTATTCCAACTACAAACTAAATTACTCTAAAGTCGCAATCACAATATTTTTTTTCCAGGAGGTGGCGGTCCTGGTCCCCTTTACGGTGCCCCGAACGGCGGCCGCAACGGAGGCAGAGGCGGCAATGGCGGTGCCAATGGTGCTGGAGGCGAACCCATTCCAATTTTGTCCTACGAAAACGTGAACAACGGTGATGGTAGTTACCAATGGAGGTAAAAAAACAAACACATAAAAAATGAAATTTTCAAATTATTGCAAATTTAGCTACGAAACTGGCAACGGAATAAAAGCGGAAGAACAAGGCGAGCTGAAAAATGCCGGTACTGATGACGAGGCGCAATCCGCTGTCGGTTCCTTCTCTTACACAGCTCCCGATGGCCAGAAAATCACGATCGAGTACACCGCTGACGAAAATGGTTTCGTGCCCAAAGGCGACCATTTGCCCACGCCACCTCCAATTCCCGAGGAGATATTGAAGTCGCTGGAGGAGAACGCCGCTGCGGAAGCCGCTGGAGGTGCCAACGGTGGTGGAAATGGTTATCCTCGTGGGAATGGCAATGGTGGGAACGGAGGCCCTCGTGGCAATGGCAACGGTGGTGGTGGAGGAAATGGTTACAGATACTAGAACTTTTTTGCAAAATTTTGTTGAATGTGAATCGTTTGTCTTGTTTTGTCGTGTCACTTAAAATTTTAAGTTTTTAATGCCACTAATAGTCATGTAATGAGGATTCGTTTTTGTATTGTTATGGATGCTAAAAGCGGATTTGTTGTATATTTGCTGTCATACAACAAATTTACTTGCGATTGTAACTAGTTATTTTAGTACATCTGTTTAGTACGGATTAGGGTTAGATTTTTGACGACTGTGCAATGGACTGGTTACCGAATATCTCAGTGTGATTACATTATCCTTATGTCAAAGTACCTTTGTATAGATGCAGTTATTATGCATTATATGTATTATAACAAATATAAACAGAAAAATAAACAAAGAAATTATAATATAATTGTTCATTTTATTTTTATCACACAAGAAAATTATGTGATTTCAAACAAAAATTATGCTCGAACTGTGCAAAATGGACACTGGTATTACGTACTATTATTACGTAAACGACACGGATAGTACAAAATGCAGGGGAAACCCGTATGCAAGTTTTATACATTATTTTTGACACAGTGAAAATTTGTGATTATTATTATCAGCGTGCTTAGTGTGGTGGACTTTTGATAACAAATATTTGAAATTTGTTTAAATTTTGAAATTACTACAACCAAATTAGTTTTATTTAAAAATTTGACTAAAAGTTATAAAAGAACAGTTTTATATGTAGGGGAGACCGGGCTGAAGTGTATATCAGTTGCCTTATTTTTAGTTGCATCTCAGATTCCGGTTTCGCAGTTTCAAGGTTATTTCAGTCTCTATTTAATTATTATTCATTGTATCTATTTCTCTAAAGCTGCAAATATTAATTATTCAATATGGGTTATGCATTTTTTACAGATACGTACATTCTTTTGGAAACTGTGTAAAGATAAGAAACAATAAGAGTTATTTAAATGTTGAAGAGAACAAACAAGTAACACACAAAAACCTTTATGTAAACAGATACATGAAGTATAACAGAATTACGTAAGTGTTTACTTCAGATCTGATTGTTCGGGGAAGTACAGCTTGTATTATCAGTCAAGAATTCCTCTGAAAATTTTTTTACCACAGTGCGATGTTTCGATAATCCTTAACACTACAGATATCAAGTCATTGAAACATTAATTTTAAGGTCATTAAGACTTATGTCTAATTTCAAGTTTTCTTGGCACTTCAGAGCTAATATTGTGTGCAAAATTTTAAAACTGGCGAAAAATTGAATTTTTCGAAAAAAAAATGGATTTATTCGATTGTGTTTAAGGGGCGAGTTAGGGTGAGGAAAGTTCTGTCTAAATAACCTTATGCCCATGTTTGTTTGTTTGCAGAAATGAATTCAAATGCATTTTCCAAGGCTGGAAAACTGTCTTTAAATTTAAATGCAAAATCTGGAACACAAATTCTGTATTCCTCCATTCTGCAGAGGAGAAATTTGCAAAAATCATGTCCAGCTTTCAAAAGTTAATCAAATCGATACACATTATCACAAATTTGAACACACACAGAAAATGAAAGAGAAATTGTTATTAAAGTAACTGGATGGTAATATACAAGTTATTGAGGTGGTGAGTCCAAATCATAGACCATGGCTATGGGATCGATGGCTCTGATCAAGGCGACTGAGCTTTCCTCAGTTTTTAGTGTTATGTTGTGTTATTAAAATTCATGCTACAACAAACTCATTCTTGCCCAATAACTGATAATTGACCACATGCTCCACTTTCCTAGCGGACTATCCCTCCGGGAGACCTGCTCATTCCACAAAGAAGTAGGTGCCTCAGGAATTTAGAAAGAAAAGGGTTTACGAAACAACTTGCCCTAAACTTCCCTTTGTTAACATTATTGCGATCATTTTTCTGGATGGATCAAAGTTTAAAAATAGTTTAAATGTCTATAAATGAACTAGGTATTTTAAATCTCGAGTGAGAACTTATAAAGTGTGGGTAATGTAATAACTAGAGTAAAAACATCAAAAACTGTTAGATACATCGTAAAAAATGAGTTAATTCCGAATAAGTGAATTTTCTGTAATTAAATTGGATTAAAACTGTGAACAGTTCAAAATGTTAACACAAATTGTGAATTTACAAACAGTAAAATTGATGGAATGGTTAAAGTTTTATACTAATTTCTTTGGTTGAAGAGTACCGTGGCGTTGAATGTGGTTCATTTTTGTTTAAACAATTGCCGCTTTTTGAAATTATAAACTAAATTTAATAATAATCTTCATTTTTAGCACAACGAAAGAAACTGTGACATGGAGTTCCGTTTTAATAATATCTGCTGAATTTTACAAGTTACTTTTCCCCTAGCAGAACGAAGCCGAGGGTGAGGTTCTACACATTGTTGTCGACGTTACAATATAATAAATACAACAGGTATTTATTTTGCCAACCATCATCAAACGCATGTGCTTAAAATATACTCCTACTTAATAATGTGTTTCTATTTCCCGAGGAAATATTGATAAGGTGGATCCATCGATTGGCTACTTTCATGTTTTCTAAACATTTCATGACCCTTCGAGTATGAAAAAATAGGTTTCCTGTTTCTGTCTGTCCGTCGTTTATTATCTGTCTGCCTGTCGTCTGTCATTAGTGTCGATATTTATTAGCTAGATCATCTCGGAAACTAATGGACTAATTGTTATTAAATTTTAGAGGTATTTTAAAAATATGGTGTAGACAGTAAAATGCGAACCACTTAAATTTTATGAAATAACATTGTAAGGTACTTGTGGTTCATTCGTCTGCCCTCATTTTAATCGATATTATCTAGGGAAAGTTAGAGTTTGTCGTTATAGTTAAGTTTATCATGAAATATTGCGACGAAATTCCGGATGGGAGGACGGTCCGGAATCTCGCCGATAACGTATGGGGTGGCGGCGTACTTGAGTGCCAAGCTTTGGGTCGACTAGTATCGCTGATGTCAGAGACACGTCTGGTCGACCAAGCTTATGCGGCTACCTTCACGCCGCCGGGGGTGGCGCCTTCGGTCAGGAGCGACGGTCGCTCGGGCGCCAGCTCCCTCTCCGGGAGAGGGAGCGCCGGGGTGCTCTAAAGCCGGAGACACGGAATTCAGGTGATGAGCCGCCGCGAAAACTCGAGAATAAGAAATAAAACGGCGAGGGTATTTTATAACAAAAATAGGGTTTATTCCCTGCCACCAGCTACACGGTCTAAAATAATAAAACTTACGGCTAAATAACTTAGATAACTATAAAACGGTTTTACAACAAAGATAATTAAACGTCCGGCACGGTCGTTCCTCCTGGGCGGCGACTTCCTTCAGGCCGGGCTCGTCCGGGCTCTGGGGGCGGCGACCTTGAACCTGGAAATCGCGCGAAAACGGCACGGCGACCCGGGAAGGGAGCGCGGTGACGGTAACGACGCGTGCACGACGGTGTCGACTTTCGACGGTGACAAAAAAAACGCGGTGACGGTGACACGGTTTCTCGCTCGGGGGCGGCGATTCCAAAACCGGTACAAAACAGGCAGGCGACCCAAAAAGGTACTTACGGTGGTCGGAGGGTCAACTGCAGACTTCTCACTTCTCAAAATCGCAAAACAGCAGCCACAAACTTCCGCACTCTCTGGAGTTTCAGGCAAGAGTCCTCCTCTTCCGCCGCGGCGGCGCGGCAATCGCCAATTTACCCCCGGCTTTCGCGGTACGCGCCACGGTTTCCGGCCCGCGAAAATTCGCTTCGTTACAATATAAAAGAGGTTTTTTTTAAGATATAAAAAAATTACGACAGAATTTCCTTCGCCGTGAAAATACAATTCAACAAATCCCGCTTCTTTGAAAATTACATTTGATTTGCCGATTTTTGTTTTGGGATCGCTTCTATAAATTAAAAACCAGTGGCGTAAATAACTTGCAGTCAGCTCCTGCGCTGCGGGGGCACATATTCCAAAGGGGCGCATTCTGCACACGTGCGGACAATATGAAATATAGTTGAAACAGAAAACCAATGAAAAAACATGTTTTCTCAATGTCTCAGTACATCCATAACTTTGACTGTTTATACTTATTATATTTCAAAAGACTTCGACTATTAGTACGTTTCAAAAAGAAAATGAAATTTGATTGATGTTGTCTCTCCTAAACAGAAGAGGGCCTAATTTAATTAATTAAGCTACAATGGAGCAAAAACGGGCCAAATATAATAATGAGTGAGCTGTTATTATAATAACAATTATTTTATTATTATTAAATATAGACCGGCGCCACATTTCTGTATTCTTATATTTCCGAGCCAATGGCGTGAATCGTTCTTGATTTATGCTTTTCGCTAAGCGAACAAGACAGCTTAAACAAAAAACGGATATAATAATAAACAAAATCAAGGTAGATTCGTAAACCACAAGTATAAGAGTAAGTATATTATTTTATAAAATTTGATAATGTCAATTACGCAATATAATGAGCAGACGTCATTAAATTGTTAGTGCGGATGTTTAATCATATTTTGGTTAGCGTTTTACCATCTGCATGATATTTCTAAAATACAGACAAAATTTGATAACAGCAGTTTCGGAAATTGTCGGCCTAATAAAAATTGACACAGGCGATAGACAGACTGAAACGGGAGACCCCCTAGAGTATGTAAAAAATAGGTTTCCTGGTTCAGTGTGATGGCTGTCGTCTGTCTGGTGGTAAATTCTTAACTAAAACGTGTGTAATCGTTCCTACCAACAATTTGATGGCGTCACCGCAACATTTTAAATAGCAACTAGTATTTAAATTTTTGAAATAAAATATTCCTGTGCGATGTATTCCTGGTTTATGGATTTGCCTTGATTTCTTATCACAGTTACATTACAAAAGTGTTTGTGGACGTATTTCCAGAGGGCGATATCATTTCTGACTAATATTTTGGACAAAGTCGTGGCAAAAATTGAATTGATTTTATCTCCACATCCCAGGGGAGCAGAGTAATTATTACTTAAGCTACAATGAAGCAAAACGTACCGAAATTTTTCAACTTATGTGAGTTATCATAATTTTATGACTTTTCGAAGAAACTGAATTTGTTGGAATGTACTTTAGGGTTAGGGGAAATTGTGTCTAAACAACCATAGACCAATTTTTTCTTTGAAAACACTAAGTTCTCAAATCTACTTCGTAACCATTTTCATAAATATAATGTTACGTGGTACAATGTTAAAAACATGTCAGACTAGGATTTATTAATACTTAGTACGTAAATTCCGTCTCGTGTTATTCATTACACACATCTGATT